GGACTGTGTCTCTTATACTTTTTTCGCACAGTACGTAAACCTTTGTAATTTCATACAAAAAATCTAAGTCTGAGAATGCTCTCAAGTCTCAGAATTTTCTCAAATCTTAAATTCTCAGACTCAGCGGCCGTCATCAAAAAGTTGAGTAAAATAAAAATTCTCAAACTCTCTTTTATTCTCAAATATTTGAGTTTACTACAAAGCAAACTTAAGTCCATTCTCAAGCATTAAAAATGGGATGAAAATGTATATATAGATTAATAAAGGCTGATGAAAAAAAAATTAACATCTTGAAAAAGTCTATATAAAGATTTACATTTTTTTATGCATTATTTACAACAAATTAAGTCTAAAAATTTTTTAGTAAAAATCCATACCGATTACCAGTAATTCATTTTTAGTGTACAGAACAAATCTCTTTATTTATTAAATCTTCCTTATATTTCAATATTTTTTTTTTGCAATGGCCAGTCTAGCATATACAGTGTAATATTCAAGACCGGGGGGCTTTCTTTTCTGAGAATCTTTTGCCATATAGAACTTTGAAATTTTTTCGTAAATATTTTCATTATTTGGTCAAAGTTACTAATGGCTTCACACATGGCTCTCACATATACGTAACATTTTGTACATTTTGAAAAAAAAAATCCTGTACGTAGCGTCCCTTCCTGCATCTCAGGACTGACACGATCAATGAAGATAGCTTCCCGTGTAATGAGTTCTCACCATATGATTCGAAACATTAATAATTTTTTTTCCAGAACTGCATGATTTAAGACAGAAATCTGAATTGAACATGTATTCCGTTTTATTGTCCAAAAATAGATTTTAAAAACCCAAAGTATAAAAATAAATATGTAGTACAGTAATGCTTGATAGACTTGTATATTTACTATCCACAACAATTTTCCAATCATTCTTACGAGTTCAGAGCGTCGGCAATGCACTGCCACTCCCTCTCCTTTAATATTTCCTTTAGTTTCCCCCTTCGGCCCACTTCCTTTCAAAGACCCAAACAACGTGTCGGTACTGTGGCAACGCACTTCGAAAAAATTGTACGCACTTTGAATTTTTTTTCAAAGTGCGTTAAATTTGGACAAAATCAACGCACTTTAAAAAAAAATTCAAAGTGCGTTAAATATTGGACACACTCAACGCACTCTGAATTTTTTTTCAAAGTGCGTTAAGAGTGCACATAAACATTTTATACCATGGAGGCATTTAACGCATTTTGAAAAAAAAATATGTAAGAAATAAAAAAATTTAGACTTAGATTTTAGTAAAAGAGAGAATCAATTTGTAATAATTAGATCTTTCGAAAAACTTTTTAATTTACATGTACTCATTTAACCTCATTGAGAACAAGGAGAAGACGAGTAGAAGGTCTTTCATCCCAACTCTTTTTTTCTGAAACACTGTACATAGCCGTCGGTAGCAAATTGAAAGTTGACCCCCAGGTAAGCCCTTATTTTTAAATGCATAAATATATTATATATATCTTTGCAAAACATTTATGTGCCTACATGTACCCCCCCCCCCTTCCCGGTACTGATGTCTATGATACACCCAAATATATGTATTTACATAACTGGTAAGCCGTTGAAAATTTTCAATAAATTTAAGCTTACATAAAATGCATGCAAACTGGAAAAAAAAAGTACAGTAAAGCATTTAAGCGAGAAAGAATTTTCAAAGTATGGAAAAATCAAAATCGCTCACTTTCACATCCTGAAGTGACCTCTTCACAGAAGAGTTATCAAACAGGTTCAATTATTTATCATACCTAAGATTTGCAAGAATATTGACCGATCCATACACAGTTTTTCAAAGTGCGTTAATATGGTCGATATTAACGCACTTTGAAAAGAAATTTTATTTTTTCAAAGAGCGTTGATTTGGTTCCAAATTTAACGCACCTTGAAATTTTTTTTTCAAAGTGCGTATTTTTTCAAAGTGCGTTGTAACACGGCACATTCTACCTCTTCCCCACTACTCCGATTTTGAGAGCGTTTAATTTTTCTTTTACAATGATTGATATTAATATACAAAGTAGACGTAATTTTTGATTTATTTACATGTAACCAAAGTTGTTTCTCACTTTTTGACAAAAAAAGCTCCTCTGGGCCGCTTCAACCAACTAAAAAAATCCGCGAAAACAGTCTCGCGAGAAAAAAAATCTTGAAAAAATTCTCAAGTCTTGAGAATAACTCAGCTGAGAATATTCTCAAATCGTTTTATGACGGCCGATTTAAGAAAATTCTTAGCTGAGTAATTCTCAAGACTTGAGATGAGAATTTTTTTTGAGAATTCTCAAAGTTTTATGACGGCGGACCCTGGTGTACCTTAGGTGCCTGTTTTTCCTGTTTGGGTTGTTTTTATACCCCCCGCTTGAAAAGCGGGAGGGTATATAGTAATCGTTATTTCCGTCCGTCCGTCTGTACGTCCGTCCGTCTGTTACGCTTTTGGGTACCCATCTCTTATCCGCAACTCCTCTTATACCACTGAATGAAATTTGATGAAACTTTCAGAGAATCTTTATTACATATTGCCATTGTGCACCTCCTATTTTACTTTTTGATCCGACACATATTTTGGGTTTCCCAGAGCAAAACATTTATGGGAGGCGGAGGGTATCATTTAGTGAGCCCATTGCTCACAGTACCTCTAGTTCCTTCTTGTCTTTCTTTCCACCACCTCCTTGCTGGCCATGCATTTCAGCATACTTATTTGCTAATAAGAAAATATAAATGTAGTTAAAAGTTCATTTATCAAAGTTTACAAAGTCTGTTTCTTATTACGTAGCTATTTTCTCCGTTAGCCAAAGTATCACAAATGTTGAAAATGCTATCACAAATGTTTAAAATGTCCAATTCTGATTATTTTCTTTACATTTCCCCCCACCCCAATGTGGCCCTTTCCTACATCATAGTCATAATTTGAACTTGCTTTGATACTACTTGATGATGTTTTAAATTCATGACCTACTTTTGCTTTATTTTCATTGAGAAGATTTTTTTAATGAAAACATTCTTATTTTTCATAAAGTCTGTGCAACTTAAAAATGGAAAATCTTCAATCCTCTACACAAAGACTTCTTCAGTGGCACCTGCCTGAGAATCTAAAATCCATTTTTCTTTGGCCTGAGTACAATACTACTTACAATCAAACTCGGCCATTTTTGTGCACATCTGGAAGGATCCTATCACAGCAGAAACTGAAACTGAAACTGACACAAAACTGAAAAGTAGCTTTAAATTTTAAAAAAAGTTGGTCGTGTAAATATTAACAAACATGTTGTAAAGGTTACTTATTATCACAGTACTGTATGTTTATTGAAACTGAAACTACTGCAAAACCCGAATATTTCACCATCAAGGAAGGATATGAAGATAACGAACAGCATTCAAGCTCAAAGTCCATAAAACAATACAAAATAAGAGCAGAGGAAACAAGTACCTCCGCAAAATCAGAGGTGGGATCAGGTGCCATGTAGGAGTGAGCATCCCCTGCTGACCGGTCACACCCGCCGTGTGCTCCTTGTTATGATCAGGAAATAACGGAAAAATCCGTTGTCAATTCAGTGTATAATTAATGGACTAACAATTAGAGCATTTGACTCAATGATAAATTGTATTTGCTGACAAGGTCATTGTATCGACCATAGAACTTACGAAATGATGACTTTAAACGAGACTGCTGATATTCTTTTTTCATCAACTTGCTAGTCAATAATTTACCTCGTTTTAGAAACTGTACGTAGAATACGTAGAGCATGCTCTTGCGAATCGAATCAACTGAGATATATATACTCCGTATGCAGGTGATGAAGGTATGTTGCTGCATAAGTAATTAAGGGAAATATCTACCTTCGTTTTCCGCCCTATTGCTTTTCATTTGGCCGCTCGGGCTACTTTCTGACGGCCCTGCTGCTTAAAAATTTTGAAACAAGTGACTTTCCCGCTTCCGGAAGTATCAACCGGCTTGGCCCGGCTTATGAAACAAGTGGACCATTGACTGACTTTCCCACACCTGTGAACCTGATGACACGTAGTAACCCACAATGCAATCATCAGTCTCATTCAGTTGATTTGTCAGTAAAAGCCACCTCATTTGCTATTCTGACGCCAATAAACATAGTCCTAGATCCTATGGAAGTATGTTGTCCAAAAGGAAATTTAGATATACATCTGCAGAAAATAATGTCATGAAGGATTTTTTTTTTTTAAGTTTGAATGAAGTCAACGGAGATTAAAGTACAATTCTACAAATATTATAGGGTGGTGAAAACTGAGACACAATACAACTTGTATGTTTATCGTGTCTCCACGTGCTAATCACTTCCTAGCCACATTTCTGTGATTAATTTACCCTACCTCGCTGTAGTCTCGCAAGAGCTACCGTTGGAGCTACTCTGAACTCCTTGTGTCTTATAATTTGCAGAACACCGAAAAATAAAAGGTTCTGAACACATTAGTTGAGGTAAGAGGAGTAGCATTTTGAACTAGAAGTCTTTGTCGAGACTGTAGCTCTACTGGGTTTGTAATTATAATAGAGGAAGAGGTTAATCTCTGTTGAGATTCTGCTGGGCTCGATATTTGGACTGACGCCGTCGCAGAATCTCTGGACGATCATTAATATTTCACGTCTGGAAATTAGGCCCCAACTTCGGCCGACTTTAGCAAGAATTATTCACCTAGACCACAATTCGCTTCAATTAAGTCATTTAGTTGTTTATTTGACTCTCTGTCACTATTTTTTCTTCATAGCTTACCGTTTAAGCATGTAAATCCCAACATAAAAATATTCACTGAAATCTCCAGTTTGAAAAATGGCTCCCATATTGAATTCAGTCTCAATAAAAGAGGATAGTCTGTTTTTACCCTATGTGATGTTCATTTGCCAAGTACTGTGGTATTGAACATCACAGAAATTTCTATTTTTTAATAAGGAGGTAAAAACATAGTATCATCGAAATAAAATACAGATACACAGAATTATGTATTTTAGTGTCAGCAAAACTGTACGAAAGTCTACTTGTGTGCCAACTTATATTGAAATCCTAGTATTGGAGGCGTAGCATTTTGAAAGTATTTATATAGAATTATGTATCTTTTGTAGTCTACTTGAATACCAAGTTATATTGAAATCACCAAAACTGTAGGAGGAGTGGCATTTTGAAAAATTGTTTACAGTGTGCAGACGGATGAATGCCGGACGCATTACTATTGCATAAGCTATTCTGGTCTCTGACCAGTAGAGCTAAAAATTACTTGGGTGCTCATAAAAAACAACAACAAAGAAATCTTTTGTTGCACCAGTCATTCACTTTTAAATAGTCAACAACATTTCCCATTCAATGTCACTGTTTTTCAGTTCAAAGTCTACTTGAAAAGTTTGCCTTGGTTGAATTTTTTATTTATATCAAAATCACCCTCCCAGGCAAAATACTCCGTCACAAGCTTCTTTGTTTTCGCATCATCGGGATTTAACTTAGTCCAGTTGTAACTTTCATAGTCTATTTGCCAGTCTGGTGAAAGCTGCATAGAAAAAAGAACAAAATTAGGAATTAGATATCATGTACTTTTAAAATTTCATACTAGTAGTATGTACAACTGGGATCGAATATAATTTTTTTTTTTTTTTGGTTTTCAGGATGCAAGGAGATCAAACAAATACAGTTAAATTGTTAAATTGAATTGTTGCACTAAATTGTTTTTAATGGGACCCAAGGTATCACAACATCTTCGCTAGCCAAGGGTGACGATCCACAGTGTTTCTCTATCCACCCAAGGGTGAATAGAGAAACACCGTGGATCGTCACCCTTGGCTAGCGAAGATGAAGGTATTAAAGAAATCTGTCGAAATAATGTAAATGTATGTACTTATGCAACAAATATACTAAATTTTGAATTGATGATGAATAATCTATACATTTCAATCATTTTTATGTTGGCATGGAAAAAAAAAACTCCAATGTTTAATCAATTACCTCAAAGGCAAGGTCGTGACCTCTCCACACCCATATCCCAGATATAGAATTGTTGTTATCCTCACCAAACAAACACACACTTGCAAATGCATTTTTACGTAGTTTTTCCAATCTTTGAAACATTCCTATGAAGAGACAAATACAATAACTTTTTATCAAATACAATACATATGAAGACTTATACACACATAATAAGAGAATTTAGAAATTGACTATTCAAATCTATGCTAACTTGTTCAGAATTTAATATCCACCAAATATCACACACATTAAATATAACAAATAAATTAACAGTATCAACTGGTTTTAAGCAAAGCCAGGTTTCACATAAAAAACTGTACATGACAGGTGTGAAAAGTAATTGGTAAACTGTTTAAGGCCAAAAAAAAAATTAATTTATAGTTTCTCAGGCCAAAAAATTCAAAATTCAATGCGACAGGCAGGCTTTTTCTTTTGGAAGCAGGTTTTACACTTTTTTAGTAAGTCATTTGTGCAGTAAAATGATAATATCTACTAATTCTTGAGTTTTGTCCTCTGAAATTAGTTATAATATGTATTCAACATTAAATAATGCTAATCCAAACATTTATTTAAAAGTTAACTGATAAAATACTTAAGATTTATAAGAAATATATTGTTTTTCTAATAAAAGTGTCATTCTTAGCATTTATGAAATGGGGAATAACTCGATTTTCTTTTTCAACTTGGAAAAATAGAAAATCGAGTTATTTCCCTATTCAATATGTCAATAAAATTAATCAATGCGGCCGTTTTGAACCGATGCGGCGGTGCCTGAGAAACTATTGATTAATTTTTTTTGGCCTAATTAAATTGGTTTTTTTTTGTCTCCCTTTCAGTTACATGTATTAAAAGCTAGTGCGTTAAATTAAGTTAACTTACCTCCAACAAGGTTTGCTGTCATGAAGATCTTGGTCAACTCGTTGTTATACTTATATTCACTATACCAAATAGAAAAGTTCTCCTTGTCAAAGTTCTTCCAAAAGTATGGCAATGCTTCTGTCAATGTATCCTTGTTGGAATACTCTCTTTTGAATTCATCCATATTAAATGTTCTGGAAAGGAAAAATACAAGTATGTGTACTCATAAACATATATATGTAATATATCCTCTGTGGTCTCGTAAAAACTTGTAAACCACATTACATTTAGCAAAATTGAAATTTGTTCAACTTAAATAAGCTGATCTAAAATGATGCACTTCATAAAATTGCAATGCATCATGAAGTGATCTCGGACATGTTAAACTAAACATGAAATGACATAACACTTGTTTGCAGGGGTTTTTAAATGTGCAAACACATGCCAGTCATAAGTTTTCTTAAAACATTTGCTCATGTGTCCTATAAAAATTAACTTTTTTAACAAAATAATTATAAATATAAAATATTTGTTAATAACAAATTATTGAATGCCAACCCTTTGGGAAACGAGGCAAAAGGATCCTTAGATTCCTTTGGTTTGGGTTCCTCCTCCTCTTCTGGCTCGGGTTCTTTTTCTTTCTTCTGGAAAAATAACAAGGCTGTGTACATACAGAAAATTACAGGACTGTGTCTCTTTTACTTTTTTAATATAAAAAAATGTAAAATCTAATTTTTGGAAAGCCACAGTCTGTAAACCTTCGTAATTTCATACAAAACAATCTATACAAAATAAAGCCCTAGTATACCTTAGGTGCCTGTTTTTCTTGTTTGGGCTGTTTTTCCTTCTTGTCTTTCTTTCCACCTCCCTGCTGGCCATGCATTTCAGCATACTTCTTTGCTAATAAGAATATATAAATACAGTAATTAATACTTCATTAAATCAAAGTTTACAAAGTCTGTTTCTTACATGTACAACTTATGTTTCTTACAACTTATTTTCTATGTAAGCCAAAATACAGGTATCACAAATGTTGAAAATGCTCAATTCTGATGTATTTTCATAAGTTTTTTCTTTACACTCCCCCTGCTTTGATACTATATGAGGATGTTTTATAATTACATGTCAGATCTACTTTTTCTCTTTTGTTAATGTTATTGCTTTAATTTTCCAATGAAAACATTCTTTTTTTTTTTGTAATTATGTCCATTAGAAAATGTCTGTGCTCATTAAAATTGGAAAATCTCCAAACCTCTACACAAAGACAAGTCAGTGGCACCTGCCTGAGAATCTAAAATCAATTTTCCTTTGGCCTTAAAGAACTGAATACAATTCTACTAACTTACAATCAAATTCAGCCATCTTTGTGCACATCTGGAAGGATCCTATCACAGCAGAGAACTGGGGCTGGTTGATGAGAGTGGTGAACCATCTATTGACATGGACAAAGGAGGACCGGAAAGAGGGGTCCATCACCTGTAAAGTTAACAACAGGTCAATGTGTTCAGTACATCATTGGAATGTCACAGTGTCACTATTTCTTCCAAATCAAATTTTCTTACTGCACATCTTGTATCCCTCATTTTCATCATACATTACATTAAAAGTTACTCAGATAACCCAGAAATAGGCATTGTGGACATAAACAGATATTAAAACCAATTGATTGGTTTAAACTTTTATTTTGTGATCTGGCTTTCAAAGATTTGACTGTAATTTATTGATATTTACAGTGTACTTACATGCTTATAGAGAAGAAGCAGATCGCAAACAACTGCAATGTCAGCGAGTGAAATCCTCTCCCCCACTAAGAAAGTGCGTTTCGCTAGATATCCATTCAATACTCCAAGTGCTTTTTTGATCTGTTCCTTAGCTTTCTCCGTTTCCTTCAAAATATGGTAGTTCAAAGTACATTTCTAGTAAATGTAGACAGAAAATACCTCTACAGAGCTAATGTTTTTATTGATTTACCCAACTTTTAATTAACAATATCTTATCTTATTAGGTTTAAGAATATTATACTCTTTAGAAAAGAAACTGAAAATGTTCAAAGTTAACAATGACATGAGTTGCACCACAGTGGACAGTGAAAGCACGCTCTAAAGAGTAAGCTACATAAAGACTTGATTATGTTTATAGTACCTGTTTGTTGTATTGTATGATTCCAAGACATGGATAAACCCATGTACATGATGCTGGCAAAATTTCGTTCTCTGCAAAATGAATCCACTGTTGCACGAAGGCTGCATCTCTGGCATTGGCTCCAATCAGCTGTGCATTGGATACTACAATAAAATTTAAATGGTTTGAACAATTAACAATAGTTTTGGAAAAGAGGTGAACTAATTTATTATGCATTCTCCTCTAAATTGTATCAAACAGAATATTTTGAACTTTTTTCCTTTTTCAATAAGATTGAGAAAATATGTTTTCTGTTTAAGTTTTTGATAAGAATTGCACAAATTATGCACCAGACAAACATTAAAAGTTAAAACACAACACATAACATGTTATGTTTAGCAGAATTAATCTATTACACATGAGAAGTAGTGCTTTAATTTTGTGTCTCAGATAGGAATTTAAACTTAAAAAGTTTCTCATGTCAGGCAAAAAATTTGATGCAAAACCATAATACCATCACAGATAATTCATTTATTCCTTGCCAGTTGGAACACTGTATGTTAGTTAAAGTGAGAAAAACTAGAGGTACTGTGATCAATGAGCTATCTAAATGATACCCCTGCCTCCCATATGAATATTATGGTAGTGTCCATTTTGCTATGGGAAACCCAAAATATGTTGGGTCAAAAAGTAAAATAGTAGGTGCACAATGGCAATATTATATGTCATAAAGATTCTGTGAAAGTCTCATCAAATTTCATTCAGTGGTATGAGAGGAGTTTGCAGATAAGAGAGGACAGACAGACATCCTGATTACTATGTACCCTTTTCAAGCAGGGGGTATATAGAGCATTAATGTTGGTATGTATTACCGTATTGTGCAATGGCATCACTTTCAAACAGACAATCTCCAGATGCTGATTCAAAGGCTGGAACCTGTAAGACAAAGATCAGATATATATATCATTAACTTACTAAAGTAACATTCTGAACACTTTACACAGAGACGATTAGGATAGGAATATATGTGCCATTGTGTTCAAAGAACTCAGATTTGGCCATTGTCATAGATAAACGATAGGCCTCATAAAATTAAACAAGGGCAGAACGAGATATTTATATGCATGAACAGTTCCAAGTGTTCAGGAGCTTGTTAGCCCAGTATTTGGAGCCATTAAAAAAGACTGAAAAAATGTGTTGAATTTCTTTATATTTATTAAGGCTGAATATTAAGGCAGATGTACACGAAGCACCAAAAGGTTTGTTACACTATTGCTCCAAATATCCTACAACAGACCTGCTCCACTGCAACTTTTAACTGTGTTGTGGGCACGTCCAGCCAAATTGGCAATACAGATCAATTTAACTACTTAGTAATTATAACATGATATAGCAAAGGGTCGTCTTATTCTTCGACTGCATAACAATAATGACTAAGACTTCAAACCGTTGACAGGACAGAGGAAATTCGTGTCGTTTCATCATCTACTTTTGTCTAGAGAAGTAAACGTCTACCATATTCCAACCTTTCATCATTCAAAACCAATTATCATCCTTATACGTATACCTTTCCCAGTGGGAACTTTTCCAAAAAGCTTTTGGACTTGTTGGTTTCCCCGAATTTGAAGCCGGGTGAGACTTTCACGTCTGCTCCGCTGTATTTGGCAGCAATTAAAGCCTTAAAGGCTCTAAAGTTGTCGGGATATGTAAAAAGAGTCTAAAAAGAAAAGAACAAAGATTCTATTTTTTGGAAGATTTAATTCGATTTCCATATGATTTTCCAGATATTATTGGATAATAATCGGCCCACGTATGCCACCTTACCCCAGACGCCATTGCACATAGGAAAAGGAAATGCAAAGTGAAAATACGCGCATGCCCATTGGCGAAATAACAGTATTGATTGACGATAGATCTGATAGTTGAGGAATATTGTCATAGAGTGAAAAATACTACGTAAAAATGGTAATATTTCATATTTTATATAATTTCTTAAAGTGTATTGAAAATATTTGATCATACTGACATCTAAGTTCATGTAATGAAGTCGGGTATTTTGATTCTCGGCTCTCTTAAACGGATTCAGCTGCTGCAATGCTGACTACATGTATACAAAATGTGTTGTGAATGTTGTTACTGCATCTTTTCACAATTAGATCATATTTCAATGGCAGAAGCTCTTACTCAACACATCTAGTATTGATAGTGTGTCTATGTCTTTGTATACATGCACTCCTTATCTGAATTTGTATACAATTAACCCTGGTAAAAAAAAAATAATTAAAATAGAATCTGTTAATGTTAATCACTTAATGCACCAACAATGAAATGCTTGAGCTTCCTTCCACACTGGAATGAGGCAAAGACATAAATAACTCTTCCATGGACAGTTTTATTGCTGGAGCCTGTCGCACAACTGCATGTTGAAGTTTCAAATTCAACAAAAAGTTTTGACCTAAATTTATAGATTTTGTGAAGACTAGGGTTGTCCCTAACAATTGAAATAGCAGGAAGCATTTAAAAAATAGAGGAAGGGGGGGGGGTCCTCCCCGAACATGGACCGTAAGGCCATCCTTAAAAAAATGTTTGTTTGGAATTGCCGCCTGGGGGTTTTCAGACCCAGGAGGGAGGGAGGGAAATTATTATTTTTTTTTTTTTTACAAATTGAAGCTAATTAATAGACATTAAAAATCGGAATGAACAGTGGTGATTTTCGTTAATTTCCCTCTTCCTTTTATTTGATTAATATCATTTTTTCTAAAATATACACAGAACAGTACTCAAGTATCAATCTTTCTTCGATGTTAGATTTGCTTATCTATTAAAAGTCAAAATTCAGCGTCAAACTTTTTCTTTATTTTAAAAATCTTTTTAAAACAATTTCTTTACAAATCTTTTTAAAACAATTTCATTAGTGTATTTCATAGCATTTCTCTTTGAAATTTAGCCCTTCTTTTAGACAACCCTTACAAAGAGTGCGAATCACACAAAATTTCTTAAGAATAGTTGGGATGTTTTGTGAAAAAACGGGAGGGGGTGCTTGGTATGTTCTAGAGTGTTCGCCATGAATCAGTTTTAACATTCGGTGTCAAAGACTTCAAAGACTCATACTGACAGACAACATTTTTCCTTTTGTATTTGAGAGTAAACATTTCTGACCCATGTAATTTTTTAACTGGGAACTGAACGATCATTTTTAATTTCAACATGACGGACTTATCCTATCAAGTTCAAAGGGCAATCTATTACAAAGCTCTTTCAAGGTATCGGTGGATCATTCCATTTAATTTTTTATTCACCTTTTATTTTTATGAAGATGCATAAATGTTCTGGTCTTCAACGCTTGAATGTTTTCACATCCATAGATCCAACTTGGTCTGACATTTTGGCGGCTTTCATTTTGTCAAATCGCGACCTATATTCCCTATATCATAAATACTATGAATAAAGCGTTTTATTGACTGGTGTTGTTAAATTTATGCAAGCTCAAACCCGCCTTTAAAAAGCTATTTCGAAGAACGAACTAACTTGTTAAAAGCGATGTCGGACATAAGACGGTAAAAAAAATATTTCCAATATTTTGCCAATAAAATTTTTTGAGCGGGGGGTATTTCAATGAGGCGGGCGGCAATTCCAAACAAACTATAATTTTATTTTGGCCTAAGGGACATACCAGGGGATATCTGGGAGATTATCTGATTAGTACTGTAGAAGTACTTTTTTCCGTGTGGTATTAATTTAGGCTATGTTTGAGGTCACAAATTGCCAGCAGAAATTTGTCTCATCGTAGTCACTCAATATACTTGTAAGGCAGATAAGTAAGAGCCTAAGAAATCTGCGAAATTTTCTACCTGCGGATTTAAGAGAAATCGACTTCCATGGAATTATGACCCCATGGAAAATAGTACATCTACAGTAATGTATGTCTTTATAACAGGCTGGAAAATTCCCCAGCCCCTGGTCCTTAGGGACAACCTTGGAAGACTTAACATTGCATGATCAAAATGCTAAAAAAGTAAATTAAACATGACTATAATATTAAAACCCAGGAGAATTCTTTGTTCACCTGTTAGATGCTCTATTAACGTGATTCAAACTTTGTAATTCCTTTTTCCTTCAAATAATAAATTGCATACCATCTTTTTTTTTTTATTGAATGACTACTGGTATTTACACAGGTCCTAAAACCCAAGGGAAACAACTCTCCATCAATTTCTTTACCATGTTTGCAGTTCATAAAAGCCTTTCTGGCACTATGTCCAGACTTCTTCGACGAAATCTAATTTATCCTAGGCTAATGGTTTATAAGTATACTTTTATGGTTTTATTTCTTCACCTTTGGTAATTTTAATGAGAGATGTAAATACTCATGTTTATTTTCAGGGGAATGAAAACTCACTTCCAATGGAGCTCTGCTCAAATTGTAAGTAACATAAACAGTTTCTATTTCATTTTGTTGATTTGTATAAATTTCATAACACATATTTAACTGTCATTTGTTTGGAGCACATTGAAGCAAAGATGTAGAAAGTACAATTCAATAAAATGGCTACTTTAGTAAAAAAAAATTAATGCATTTCACTTTGCGATGATAAATTCAGCCCTAAAACCCAAATTCCTGACAAGTTAAGAGCAATGAATTGACTATTTTATAGGAGATAACCTTTTAATTATACACTCAAATTGTCTGCTTAAAAGACATTTTAAGAAAAATTAATGCTTTTATTATTAGATGATTTGTAAAATTCCACCTAACTGGCAAATACCAAAACTTCTGACACTGCTGTTATGAACTTTACAATCTTTAAGAGGTCTCTGCAAGTCTGCATGCTCTTTTCCCATTTGCTCATAGTTCTTCTATAATACCAAAATTGGTAAAGACATTCAAAACAAAATTGATGAAAATGTTCAAAAGTTTAGGAATGATGAGATAAAAAAAAAACAGGTAGGAATAGGTCACCTTTGTGACTCATGTGACCTTAACCTGTAATTGATTTTAGTTGTTTAACCTATTGGCTTCTTCTAATTTCAGTTGATGCAGATGAAATCAAAAGACTGGGAAAGAGATTTAAAAAGTTGGATTTGGATAACTCTGGCTCCTTAAGTGTAGATGAGTTTATGACTTTACCAGAACTTCAGCAAAATCCATTGGTGCAACGAGTCATAGATATATTTGATACAGATGGAAATGGAGAAGTGGATTTCAAAGGTATAAATGTCAAACAGAAAGTTTTTCTTGATCATGTAATAGTACATATTCATAATATTTAAATAGTCATTTAGTGTAAGAATGCATGGCCAGTTGTTTATACAGAACTTAAATAAAAGATGCTAAAAATGTTGCAGTTGCAGATAGGAAATTGATAAAAGATTGTAAACAGATTCATAAATGTACTTGCACTAGATTTTCTTTGATATAAATACTTGCAATTTGATATTTTGCATACAATGAAATTCTTTCCTTTGATAAACTTGTCCAATGGGAAGTGCATGGAAGCAACATTACAACATGTACTACTAAGATCTAGGTCCAATAATGTTGCTTTCCATCATCATCAATATGTAGTATGTATTTGATAAGCATTTGTCAGAGTTTGTGCTTCGTTTATTTTCAGAGTTCATTGAAGGTGTATCACAATTTAGCGTCAGAGGAGACAAGCTCTCTAAACTGCGATGTAAGTATTCCAAAGACAGTACATTGTACAACTATCAAATAATTTGGTTTTGTGGAAGTCATTTTGAGAACATACAATGTATGCAATAGTGTTTGATCCAAATGGCAAAATTTTAATACTTTTTTTCTTGATAATTTTAAATACAGTATTATGCCTATTTACAATCCATGATTGTCTGTTTACTGTATATTTTCAGTTGCATTCAAGATCTATGATATGGACAAAGATGGCTATATATCAAATGGAGAGCTTTTCCAAGTATTAAAAATGATGGTGGGGAATAATTTGAAGGATACTCAGTTACAACAGATAGTTGATAAAACCATCACACACGCTGACACCGACGGTGATGGAAAAATCTCTTTTGAGGAATTTTGTGCTGTAAGTGGATAATTTTTTTTGTTAAATCATCTGAATTGAAAGTAAAAACTCCCAGAATAGCCGTAATATTTACTCCTTAATATCGTGTTAGCAAACATTAAAACTGTTTCACATTGTAGCAATTTCATTTTTTCTTTTGATAAGCAGGAGTTGAGGAGCATATATTTTGATTTTGTGACTTAAACATGGGGGTGGGGGGGGGGGGGGGGGTACTGTAACACTATAAAGTGATACATCCAGAAGAAATTGTACTTCAAAAATATATTTATTGACTGTTTATACAATATGTCCTTATTAAAGCATTATCTAACAAGCACAGAGACTTTTAAGTATGCAGATATTTTAATATTAATGATGAATATGTATGCAGATTAAAGAAGTTCTCTGTGCAAACTAGAGATGTTTTGATTCTCTAAGAGTCACTTTGATGCCCATGAAAGTGAAATATTGATTTATTTTCTTTATTTTTTTCAGGTTGTTGGAAACATGGATGTTCATAAAAAGATGGTGGTGGACGTTTAACATGGATTTTTATTTCAATTTTTTATTTATGAATCAATTATGTAATTTATTCCCATGACAATTGTTTCAAATTGTTGATTTAGATGACTTTGTATATTTAAGTTTGTATATATACTTAAAGCATTTATACTTATCACATTGAAAAAAAATTCTCTACTCAATTTGTATTAATTGAGAGTTTTTACTTGTATACAGCTTGTTTAATATCATTAGATGAAATGACTGTGTCAATGAAAAAATTATCATTTTAAGTAGTCTTTAATTTTTTTATGCCCTTTGTTAATTGATTTCAGTGTCATGAATTTTTATAATGTACCACATGTTGTAAAATGTTCTGTGAATTTTTTTTTTCAAATCTGAAATTTGAATGTTGAAAACAAAACTGTGAAAAAGATGCACTTGTGACACCATTACATAACATAAAATAAGCATAAAATTTTCAGGTAGTTCCCCTTTTGAGTGATAATCGAGTTAACTCCCCTTTTGAGTGATGAAGCTGTAACTGCAGATATTTTGATGGAAAATAATTCTTGTAACACTAGTTTTCCCCCTTTAAGCACTTGCTTGTAGTACATGTACATGTATATACATCTAGTCAACATTCGAGAATTTCTCTGGGGGGTTTGGGAAAATTTAATAATCATTTCTTTCAACTTACATCATTAAAAGGTATGCAAAATTAATACACCCATGTCACTTAACATTAAAATAGCTCTAGAATCTCAGAATTAGATTTCAAACAAAGTGCATCACCATGAAGGATGCATGATTATTTATTTTCTTTTTTTTAAATCCCAATTCTCCCATGAGTACCGGTACTGTTTTTGAGGAAAAGCAATGATACATGTACATCTCAGTATGTAAACGTAAACTAATGGCAAATGAATTATCATGGATACAGTTGAGATCATTTTTCTGCAAGCACTGCATTATTTGATAAAAGTGTACATTATAAATTTATATATCTCAATCTGATACTTTAAGTGCATGTCTGATAAAAACCATGCAATTCTGTAAAAAAATATGTCCAGAAGTAAAATTTTGAAATTGACTTTGTGATGTCTTTTCAAATGGTTAATGCCTAGAAGTATTATATTTGGTATCCAAAGTGCAAATAAATTGAAACAGAACTCTGTTTTTAGCTCTTAGAAACCACTAGAGAGCTTGTACATTAGGAAGGTGTCTGCTGCTGTTGTCAATCCATCTAGCTGCATGCTTGTTTGTTGACATTCAAAATGCTACTTCAGTGGTCTGATTTCACTTGGCAATAAGTAGAGTAGAGCACCTGACTAACAGTTCAGGTCATTTCAGGAGTCTTAGGTTAGTCCATTCCTTTTTACTCCTTTCCTATAGCACTGTCACCATTGGTGGTATACTTGAAAGCTTCCCATTTTATTCTATAGTTCACAAATTATGACTGTAACAAGTTTTATGTTGTATATTTTTAATTAGCAATTTCATTTATTTGTCTAACAATTTAGATGCCCCACCTACCTACAAATTCATCATGCAAATAAAACATTTTATACGATACTGACTTAAAGGCTTCTGTATTGTGGCGACATGTGTCTCCATACAGAACTTCATTCATTAAAATTAAGAAATTTAAAATGCGATTATGGAAATCTGTTTGGTACAGGAAGGTCTTATAAATCCTTGGGAACAGACCTGTTCAAAAAACTCAAAACCCTTAATTTTTTTCTGATCATTTATCTGGAAAATATAGGGCAGGACCAGCATCTGAAACAAGTCTGATAGTGTCCATCTCTAAATTCATCGAAAAGGCAGGTATAGTCCAGGTACAGCTAATGGTCACAAATACTTGGGAATGGGCCTGCCCCACAAACTTTACCTTGGCCACATCTCAAAAAATGTCGAGTATCCTTAGAGACATCATCCATATAAGTTTGGTCCAGGAAGGACTTATACATGTAGTTACATGGATATGGAAATGCTCCTAAAACTTAAACACTGAAGCCAACATGGATGCTAGAAGTATAGCATCCTACAGTGAGCAAAATAGTGGTTGGCATCTCAAATGCAAGATACTGAGTTTCAAGATACCAAAGTTCAACAGTATATTTCTTAATGATAAGCTGAGGTACATGCATGAACAGTTGAATTGTATGATGCTTTAGGTTCACAACCCTATTCTTAGAAGTCAACTATGATGACTTATATAAATGTATTGGACAAAAATTCAAAGCAATTAAATAACAAGTGTATTTTCAGCTAAATTACCACTTGTTGAAGATTTTAGTACTGTAACAGTTGAAAGATTTTTTTTTGAAGATAACATTCATTTATATTGTTTTTTGCACCATCCCTCAGGTACTAGGAAACTGGAGACCATGACATTTCAAAGTTCCTCTGTGCTGATGGTTGAAACTCCTAGTGCCATTACAGAGAGGCTAGAGATTTCAATGAGTCTTCCACCAATGTTGTACAATGACTAGACAAACTAAGTAGCATTAGATTTATCCTGAATATCACTCAAAGTGTAACTGATACATTTGTCTTTAGCTGTGTTGAACTACAGGCATGTAATGGGTTTGTTGGATAGATTTTTACTGGCAGGTCCCAAATCATTGTCTCCACATTTAAGTTCGAGGGTCCAGACCAAACAGCACTCATGTCTGGCCTTTCAGGTCTCTCAAGTTCAGGAATCGGGTCACATGATGTCACAAATTCAAAATGGAGTCGCCATCTCAGACAAACTGCAATTATATTTAGTTATTTGGTGACTACAAAAATTGTAAAATATTTTCAACTTTAGCAAAAAACAGACTTGTTCAAATTTATATAAAAATGTGTTTATTTCAAAGAAATTCATTCTGCAAATATGAGTTGATGCTATAATAAACTCTCATTTTAATAACAAGACTGTTTAGATCCTGTTACCTAGAAGTTATCAAACTCTTTCAAAATATACTTATGCAAAAATTAAAAAGACCAGTTAATATATTCAAGTGAGTGCATTTCATTTTCCTGATAAATTAAAAAATTTTTTTCATTGAAGCAATTTCAGCAGGAGTTATTTCCCATTAGTCTCCATATTGTAGGTCAACATGCCCTGATTCATTATTCAACCAAGTTAAAGCTAGTGTTATGTTGGACCTGGAATGCACTATGCAGGTATTGTAACACAGTTTTTCTTATTGATATAAATTAGTTCATAAATCCAATATTGTAAAAAAATATTCCCAAATAGTTCTGCCAAACATGCTCAAAGAAAACTCAACACAAAGACCGACAAGATGGGAGCCAAGGGGAATAACTCTGACCATTACCTATATCTGTCATAAATCCTGGTGTAGCAGAGAGTGGGATGGGGATGTTAATGTGGGTCTTTTGGGTGTGTAGACACATATCTTGATGTTTTACATATGAGGTATAAGTTGAGCCATGGCTGGCTTTACGTCGACATTCTTCGGCAATCTGCTCCTCACTTTGTAATGTCACTGAAAACTGTCGTAAAACAAAAGATGGAAAAATCTCAATGAATTCTTTTGAACAAATTTTTTTCTGTGGCGCAGTGACCTTGAAAGCTCTACTGATTTTTTAAAGAGAAAATGAAATAAATTTAATCATGTACTGTATAGAAAGTTTCACCTCCATTATATTTTTGTCCCTATTCCATCAACACAAGTGGGCAATTTAAAACGGACGTATTCAAAGAAAAAAATATAATTTCTTAAACAGAACTGAGATTTAGCAAATTTAAATCAGGGCAAAATTGTCTGCAAGTGTGAAAGGAAGAAAATTTTAGATGGTGTTCATTTCTACAAAGTTTGAAAAATGGATTGTACCCGTTAAACTCTAAATTCAGAAGGTATAATAAATAGAACTGTTTTTCCTAAACATGTTCTATATAAAAAGTTGGTGCTTTTTGCAATTTCATACAATAAACTAAATGAAAATGTGTAGATACCTGAACACATGGAACGGTGCCCTCTGAGAAATCAAACACACCAATTATATCCTCTCCCAGTTTATAAGCTTGTTTAAACAATATGAACTTTGCCACTTTTCCTTTGGCATTTGTAATGTTGTAGAAATCTGAAAAAAATGAAGATGTATAAGCTTATGAAATTATCAAATGATATCATGAATTATATTTCATAGGTGTTAGAAGCAAATTGAAAAGAAGGGGCTCTTTGAAGGGGGGGGGGGCTAATCCAAAAAATTTTTTTTAGGAGACTTAGCCCCCCCCCCCCCACATACACACATACAAATCTGACACTAATATAGTTTGTTTTAAAGTATCAATTGCATTTCAAAATTCCAATGTTGCTGAAAATGAGGTGAAAAAAGACTAACGTGGCGCTTTCCTGGCAGTAATGGTGGCTAGGACCTGCATGGCGATGTCTAACAGGTTGTTCTCACTCTGCTCCTGTTTTAGGAATGGATTACTGGGCTGTACCTCCTCCCCATCTGTATACACACTGACATCATTCATTCCTGAAAACAAATGCTGAATATTTCACTTTGTTGTACATTGAGTTCGAATTAAATTTCTAGGGATGGTAACTTAAATTGGTCAGGTGCTTTACCCCTCTATTTTCATTGGTTAATAAGAACTTAAATGCATATTCAAAGAAAATGCTTCTGTTTTAACTTTTATTCTGGCAGATTATTAAATCTTAATTGACTTTTTAATAAGTGGAGAACAGTCACACAAATTTTGCTCATTTACATACATCAAAGCACCAGTATAATGAAAGTTTACCATGCAGCAGAAGGACTCTGAAGGGCAGTCTGAGTAATTTGGTGGGGTGATCTAACTTCTGAGCTCCGATGATCAGTTTATATGAGTACTTTATAGCCTGTCCTTTGTATGAAGGTGGGGCATCTGCAGGAATTACATCTTCAAATGCAACTGAAATAGAAAATGTTTTCACTACTTTTATGAACTTGAAGCCTCTAGACATTATTTTACTGAAAAAATGTGACACATTTTCCCATATATAAGTAATAACATTTATTGCAGCATTGTAATCTTAAATGACATAAAATATTCATGTGTACAAATTTTGATGAAAAAAGGTATCAAGAATTCTATTAAATATATTAAGTAATATATATAAAATCTGTTCTTTAGAAAAGAACAAACTTGGTTTAGCATAAGCTCATCTCAACTTTGTCAAGGTGAGCTTAAATTAAGTGTAGGGAAAGAAACGAAGAGTATAACAATCATAAAGACAGAGTACTAGTGTATGAACAATAATATACTCAAACTTTCTTTTATAGAATATAATTATTCATATTGAATTTGATGCTCACATGATCTAGTTTCGCCTGGCCTTAGCTTTAAATCACAAAACAAAATTCTGGGTTTTGTGGACAGCACAGTCATTCCTTGCTCTCCTGAAAAAGTATATATTTTCATAACCTGACATTTACTATTAATTAAAGGAAATACATTTACATATTATCCAATAAGATGTAAATGATTTTTGTTTATTCCAGTACCTTTGTTGGGAACAAATGAAGTCTCTGATGAGGATGGCGATATTTCATCTGATGAAAGTTTCCTAGTGCAGGGTAGATTAATTCTTGTGTCGCTCACCGAGCACTGACAAATTATCTGTACACTGGCCCATGCAAGGCAATCTACATTGTTCCTGAAAAAGATTTTTTTAACAAAATTATAGCAAATTTCAAACAGTAAATCTGATTCAGTATTACATGAATGACAAATTGAATGTTCACATACTGAGACTGTTTAGAGAGGTTTGTGATGGTCACAATGCACTTCACGGTCTCTCCTGCCAAATAAACATTTCCTCTCGGAAGAAATCCTGACACCTCTATCATTTTAAGTTGTTTATCTGTAAAATAAAATAAAGTTTCAGCAGGGACCTAATATATACATGTATATCCCTGATTTTAGTAGTTTAGTTTGAATTTTTTAGCATGATCCTTGGGACATTTATATATTTAACAATAGAATATAGTCGTTGTTATATAAACATCACTTTTTGAAATATATTACACTGACTTTACCTGAAAGACTGAATTTATTTATATTTCTAACTAAATACACACAAACATCTTACATGTTTACACATGCATTACATATATGCACCATTATGGGCCATACAGCTGTTTTGCTTGAGCCTAGCCTTTAATT